TTTTTTATTAGATTAAATATAATAATAAATATATATTATACTATATTATAATATAATATAATATAGTTGTAATTTTTAACTATACTCAACAATTCAACTTTATAATTTACCAAACGCTATTATACTAATTTTGAAACCAGCATAGCTATTATAATTATAGTTTACCAAACACTCAGTTATTTTTTGTAACAACTGCTTCTTCCTTCAGCACAGCTAAAAGTAATTTTTCTAAAATCTACAGCACTACCAAACTAAGCCTATATATTATTATAAAAGAGTAGAAGCTTTTTGGATCCTTTTCGGTTTTTGTTTTTTAAGAAATGGTTTGGTTTTTTTTTTCTTTCGACTTTTTTTCTCATTTTTTTTAATTATTTTTTTCTCATTTTTTTAATTATTTTTTCCTTTTCAAATACTTAAAATTAAAAAAAAAACAATATGCATTAGTAAATAATGTAGATTATGGGCCTCCATATGTTATCTTTTTTCACTTTTTATCGTAATCATAATATTAAATCTTATCTTATACAAATGATAAATGGTGAAAATATAAAAAAAATGGGTGAAAACAATATCATTCAATTTTTTATGGTCATTTATGCACCATTTTAATGCTTCTTTTTTCTTCTCTCCCCCCCTTCTCTCTCCATTATTTCTTTTATCCTTTTGTTTTCCATAACCTTTTTGGTGCTTTATTTTGTTTTAACGCTTTTATTTCTTTCTTTTGTTTTCTCTGCGTGTTAAATCTTAAATCCTAATTCTAAGTATATAAAAGAGTAGATATTTAGTTGTTCTTCATCTTATGGTAGTTCAAAACAATGAGTTTTAGGTGCTTTATTTTTCCCTTTTATTTTTAAGTGTTAACTCCTTTATTTTTCTATTTTTTTATTTCATAATTTATATTCATCCTATAGTGGTTCAAGTTTTTAGGTGTTTTACTTCTTTTTTTTCATTTTTAAGTTTCAACTCCTTTATTTATTTATTTTTTTACTTTCCTATCTTAAATTTAGAATGTTTCATGTATTTATGTGATTAAACATACCTTTTTCACTTAAAATACTATTAACATATACTTCTTTAAAAAAGAAAAATAATGTGTTGGGGATTCAAACTCTACATTTTGTGGTGGAGTTAGGTGTTCTATTTCACTCCCCGATGGGGGTTCTTTTCACCCTTCCCTCACGGTACTACTTCACTATCGGTCACCCAGGAGTATTTAGCCTTGCAAGGTGGTCCTTGCTGATTCACACGGGATTCCACGTGTCCCATGCTACTCGGGTCAAAGCGTAAGCTAGTGATACTTTCGGCTACTGGACTCTCGCCATCTAGGGGGCAGCACTCCACCGCTTCGCCTAGCAGCACGACGCTTGTATTGCTCTCCCACAACCCCGTTTTCGCGGTTTAGGCTGCTCCCATTTCGCTCGCCGCTACTTGTTTGGACGAGCATACTACTACTCAATGTATATTTTTTTAATCTCTTTTAGTAAAAATTTTCATATTTTTTTTCTTGCTAATTGTTGTTTGTATTTTACATTATAAAAGTTTCAATTATAACTAAATACGTCCATCGCACGTACCAAAATTAATACTATATATAAAAGAGTAGATCAATGAGCCACTGTGCAGTTTTAGTAGTCCAAAGAGTTATTTTTTTTCATTTCTTTCTTTTCTTCCCTTTTGCTTTTTTTTTTTTTTTTGCATCCCTTTTTGTTAATTTTTTAACATTTTTTCCTTTCTTTCTCTTGCATTACCTTTTTTTCTTTTTTTTTTTGCTTCATTTGTCTACTATAATTTGTTACCCTAACCACTTACCACTTTATTTTTTTTAACTCTATTATTTTTGCGTTTTACTTTTTTTATTCTTTTTTCCTCTATCTATTTATTATTGTATTATGTATTTTACAAATGAATTTCTACCTTTTTTTTTTCCTTTTTCAATGCTTTATTTTTTTCTTTATTACATTTTGACTTCATTATTTATTTTACCATAATCTCTTACCTCCAATACTCTTCTACTTTTTTTGTTCCTCTTTCATTTCTCCGCATTTAAACTTTATTGCTTTATTATAGATTTATGAAACCTCCAATCTCAATAATCCTCACTGGAATAATCTCTTCAATTATGATCAATTATGATCAATTATGATTTAAATTACGATTATATGTGTATTGAGTTATTTTATCATTTCACTGTTTATTACTTCCATAGCTGTCAAGTTATTTGTGTGCATGGGAATATGGCTATATGCTTTTGGGTTTTTTTTTAACTTAAAAACTAAATCAAAATTTTATTTGGTTAATGAAATGTACGATTTTAACTCCTTAATTAATAAACTATCTATTTTTAGAATGAATTTAACACAAATGTAAGGTTTTCAAAATAATAAAGTAATAAAAAAAGTTTTGAGAAAAATAAAGTATATAAAATAAAAAGTCAAAATGTGTAACCAGTTCAACTTTTTTCTTTCTATGGATCTATTTGTTTCTTTACTATTTAATATCTCATAAACCGTAATCCTATACTTTATTCGTGCTACATTTGGTCTAAAAATAGGAAATTTATTATCAAAAACTATTTGTGTAAAGAACCTTTTTTCTTGTTAAATTTTCAAGTAAAATTTTTCTTATATTCATTATTTTTTTATTCATTATCTATGGTATAAAAACATCAAATACTATTTAATACGTGCAAATAACTCTTAAGGCATATTATTCACCCTTCGTCGTCTAATAAAGACGATTTAGTGTTTTGCCCCTCATTTTTTTTCTTACTTTCATTTTGCGCCTTTCATTTTTTTAATCTTTTTCATTTCTTTCTAATTCCATTCTTTAACTTTTATTTTATTTCTATTTATTTAAACTTTTTTCCTCCATTCTCTTTTAACTCCATTTATCTACGAATATTTCTACGAACGGGATTTTACCTTTCTTTTTTTTTTTTTCCTTTCTTTTTGGCACCACTTGTCTATAGAGTTACTTCCACGAATATTCTCTTAATTTTTTCTTTTTGCTCCTCTTTTACTCTCATTCTCTTAGATTTTTTAAACCCCAAATATAAACCCTCTCATTAGAATAATTTCTTTGCTTAATTTTTTTTATTTTGTTATCTTATAATTTAGAATATTTCAGGAGTATATCATATAGTTTCTTTACTAGTTTTTCTCTCTTCCAATATATATGGCACTGTATACCAAGTAAGTCCTCAACGCTTCAAGCCTATCTTAAACTGATAAGCTAACAAATTGTCATTTAGAGACCTGAATCCAATTTATGACATCAACAGTTGGAGAAGTGATTTAGTCACTTTCTTTGTCATATTAAAAATTCAAAATTGCATTGCAATGCTTAAGCATTCAAATCATGCAAGGATCAATAATATCCAACTACAACTTCCCTCCCCCTGATGGTAGAAAGATTTTTTTCAAGCAATATTACATGTAGGGATTTTCAAAATGATCAATATTCTCAATCATACTCATTATATCTCTTGGTGCGTCATAATTATTCATATAGTTGTCTTGTTACAATTTGAAAGAGAGTAAATATTTTCTAATACATCATTTTCACACATAACGAGCAATATTTACCTCGTACATGTCTCTTCTTACATAAGAGATTTCACATTTATCTCCATTGTTGATTATTTTCTCATTATTAAGACGATAATGACATGGTCATTTTCATAGTCATGTAATTGCCCATCACACTAGGCCATATTATTATGAAAATCGAATAGGCCATATAATAACTATTTTCTCTTTCTCCTTTGGCCCTTATAATGTGTTGACCAAGTCAAACTACTTCTCCCTATCGGTGAGTTTCATAAACTCAAACACTGTCTGAATGGATGCTAACCATTCCTCAGCTTCGAGTGGATCTGTTAACCCATCGAACTCTGGAGGTACCATTCTCTTAAACTTCACATACAATGGTTCCCTTGGGATCATTTCTCGATGCCCCATCTCACCCCTTACAGGCTCTTGGGGTTCAACCCTCTCTGCGGGTTGCTCAGATTGGGCGGCTTGTGCTGGCACAGCCTGCGGAGGGGGTGCTCCTCCAACCTGCTGACCCTGAATCAACTGGGTAAGCAATTCTCGTAACTGTCTGCTTTCCTCAGCCTGGGCTGCTATTTGCCCCCTCAGACCTGCTACTTCTTCAGCTACGTCTGGTGCTGGAGGAATCTGTTCTGCTTGTGTTCTCTTTGGACGTGTACGAACCATGTTGCTGTGTCTATATCACTTAAAGAGCAACATCATTAGTCTAAGTGCAAAAAGAACCGCTTCAAAAGTTCCTTGACTGGCAATACTTTAAACTATCATTCATTCTCATATCAATTAGCAAAACATACATTCTATATGTTCTCCCATTATGCATGCCTCATATCATGCATATCACATCATATACAAATCATCACAAAAGTAAAGGTTTTTTTTAAGCCTTTCGTTCAAATCTATTATGTATGTCCCATTTCATACATATCACATCATACATAAAACATCGTTAGTCTAAATTTCTCAATACTATTTACATAACCTTGCGTCATATTCAAATAAATAAAACGCTAAGTCCTAACTTAATCCTCATCATCTAAGTGTTCCTCAGGATCCTCCTCCGAATCCTCCTCAGGGTCTTCTTCCGAATCCTCCTCGGGATCCAACTGAGGGTTACCACTAGTTTCCTCACCAACAGTCCCAACGTAGGTCCATCTTCGCCGAACGGTCATAGGCTCGTCCGCTGCCTCTATCTCGGGTCTCGGTCACTGTCGAGAGGTAGTGGCTTCCACGTCATGTCTCCTGATACGGGTATTGGAAAACGGGAAGTCTCGCCTGACCGCCGGTAGCCCTGTCCTCTCCTCTAGCATCTGGAGCTCACAATGCTTCGCCTCGGCGATAAACTGTGTGAGGGTCTGATCCGATCACGGAACTAGCCGACGCTGGTACTCTTCCGTCAGACCTCTCCATAGGATCTGACACCACTCCTCCTCACTTAGATTAAAAATCCGATTCAGAGCTAGTACCTCTGTCAAGACTCTCGCTATATAGGCTACAACGGCTTCATCCGATCTCATACTAGCCCTCTCGGCTTGTATGATAAACTCTCGAGCTTGGGTGTAGGTCACGGCTACACTCACTTGGCTCTGTGTCTCTCCACTCTACTGTGGTGCCGACTCTGATGGCATGACCTGGGGAAGAAACTGATGCTTCAACATGTGGCAAAACTCTTCCCATTGCATCTCCGCTATTTCGTCATCATCCAAAGCTTGCCAAAAGATTAGGGCATTGCCCTCTAACAGACTCGCTATGAGCATAATTCACTCCTCTCGAGCTAAGTCACAGGCTCGCATCACGTACTCGACACGGTGCAGCCAATCCCTAATTCTGGTGGGATGTGAAAGCCCATCAAAGGAAGGTGGATTACAGGTGTAGAACCTGGCTGCGGCTCGACCTGTAGTCAAAACGACACTCCTTGCTCGGTGTGTAGCCTCGGCCGCCATGGGCTCTAGAGCCCTTAACTCCCGATCCACTGGTAGATGACTATATCTAGTAGGAGTGGGTACCGACCTCTCTGTTTGTCGAAACCGTGAGGTTAGAAACATTCTTACCCGTCCCCACAACGTATTCTCTTGTGGTGTGGGCACTAACCGGGATGATGGATGTGATCGATCCATTGGTACCTGTTCTGTCTTGCCAAAAGAAATAAGCAATTCTCAGTTTTAGTTCATAAACTAATTTACATAGACTCCGCAGAAGCATAGGTGCGGGACTTATCCTGGCAGGAGTAGGAACGCCGCTCTGATACCAACTGTGGCGACTCGTGCCTCGCGGCGCGGTCGCCATTCCTTATACTACTACTAATAGGCTAAGTTATAGTCTAATCCATTACTCATTTCTAGACTATCGTCTCTTTTTATTACGTTCATATACAAGAAATTTTTTTTTCTTTACTTTAACCCTCGGGTTCTTCACATGTTATGTTGTTACACTAATAACATATCTCGCTATTACTTTAAGGATTCGGATATCAAACTAGTTCCCGAAAACTTGTCTTAACTTATTACAGTCCGTTGTTCTTTACTAAGACAATGGTTATAATATCTTTTTCTTAGAACTGAACATACATACTAGTATTCTATATCACATTAATCTGCAGCGGAAATTGTTTTCTAAGCAAGCGTAGTAAAGACCACTCCCGTGTACCCATGACATTTCCACCACCCTTGCCTCCGCCTGTCCATCAAGCAAACCACTATATGACTGGTTGTTTACCTTTCTTACCTGTACACGAGTAAACTGATGAATTAACGCTCAGCAAGTATAAACATGCATACATCATAACTAATAAAATTACATTAAGAGTTATGATGCAAATATGCTCGTGTAAAACATGCTTTAAACTGTTTTCTATCTTTCTGTTCTTACTTTTGTGGGCATAGGCCCCTGCTTACTGTCTGATCTAGTCAGAATCTCTACTCTTTGAGATTTTCCTCCCTTGCGGAGGCCGACGACCCGTCAGTCTTTTACCTTACTGGTCATTTCTTACTGTCTGGTCTAGTCAGAATCTCTACTCTGTGAGATTCTCTTCCCTTGCGGAGGCCGACGACCTGTTAGTCTTTTTCTCTACTGAATGATATGCAACGTTTCTCTACGTGCACATGCTAACATAAAAATGCATAATACTTCTTGCATACTTTAACTGTGCATAAGGATAACCATATGTCGCCCTTCTGCAATTTAGAGCACTAAGCCCTCCAAACACGTATAATCACATGTAATCACATAGACTTAGGAACATAAATAAATTCATAGTTTAAGTCTAACTACAACTTACTCGAGTCTAGACAACCATAAATGTCTATACTTACCGTTAATCCGCTAGGATTCCTGCTTGCTAGAAGTTCTTTCTCGTTGCTTTGGCTCTCGTGCCAAAACTTGTTTCATAGAAATAGGTATTAACCACATATTCCAAGCATCAAAATTTCTCATACTTGGATTCCTAAATCCAATTTCAACTCATTTTTTAACTTAACCCCTCTAGGCCGAATTCTAGCTCAAGAGGCAAATTACACCTATTCTCGGTTTCCGAATCATAATCTATTCACTTCCGAGCTTTAAAACTGTTACTCAATCTCGAAAGTCGAATTCTCAACTCAACACTTACTAACTAGGTTTTAGAAATTTCGGCAAAATTTCGCCTTGTTTTTTCTAGTTTCCCGAGTTTTTAATAACTCGTTCTATTTCTGATTTCGGTACTCGTAGTCCAGATTCACATTCCTGAACACAAATTTCAACATAAAACGAACAACATTTTCTCTATTTCTAGTGTATTTCGAATTTTTAGTGTTAATCTAAACAAATTTGTTCAATCGTTTCAATACTTACACGTTAGACTCCTATCATAGTCCCCGACAAAACCTCGGTTTCGTTTTTCAGTTTTACGAATTTTTTCCGAGATGAGTTACTATTCATCAAAACAGAAAAGCATGCAGTTTCTCAAGAAAAATCCGAAATCTTACCTTGAAAAGTTGAGATTCTCCGCTAGAATGCCTCGGGTTATGTTTCTACCGGGCTGAACAGAAAAAATTTTAGCGAAAACGGGTGATTCCTTGATTTTCCCTTGATTTTCTCTCTTTTCCCTCTTTTCCCTCTTTTTTCTATTCTCTCGGCCTCACTTAGGAAAAGAAACCAATTTTGGCTTCTAATGTCATCCGTAGGCCATTTTGAAGAGTAATAGAATATTATATTAATATTTCTAATAATATCCTAATATTACTTTCTAAATTAAATTAAAGAAATTACTTTAATTCCCATAATTTAATTTTACTAATTCTAATTAAGTTTAACACTTAATTTAAGTGGTTCTATATTCCCCACATTTTTCTTATCGAGACCAAATTTTTCGTTTCTCGAAATGAGTCTCTTTTTGGTACTGATAATTTCACAACCAGTACAGGTTCTATACTGCTTTTCTGGACTGTCGAGCACCCTGGGTCAAATTTCTCATATTCAACCCATTTCTCTTGAGTATCTCAATAGTCAATTTTGGCTTCTAATGTCATCCGTAGGCCATTTTGAAGAGTAATAGAATATTATATTAATATTTCTAATAATATCTTAATATTACTTTCTAAATTAAATTAAAGAAATTACTTTAATTCCCATAATTTAATTTTACTAATTCTAATTAAGTTTAACACTTAATTTAAGTGGTTCTATATTCCCCACATTTTTCTTATCGAGACCAAATTTTTCGTTTCTCGAAATGAGTCTCTTTTTGGTACTGATAATTTCACAACCAGTACAGGTTCTATACTGCTTTTCTGGACTGTCGAGCACCCTGGGTCAAATTTCTCATATTCAACCCATTTCTCTTGAGTATCTCAATAGTCAATTTCTTTTTCTGAAATTTTCATTTTAAACAATCCAGAATTGCCCAAAACACGTACCCTCGCGGTACTCATTTTTTTAACAGTTTCTCACTTTAACTGACTCAGAAAAATTCTGTTTCAGGAACTTTTGCTATTTTCCTTATAATATTTCTACTCTTTTTCTAACTGGTCATTTGGTCATTTACCAAATATTTCAATTTTTCATAACTAAAATATACCCGTTAAAATTTTTAACTTTTAGCTGATATTTCACTATTCACAACTGATATTTACTAATTTTCTCTGTAGAAATATTCGTATTATAACTTTATACTTTTCGGAAGATTTTACCCCGTATATAAAGTTTCTACATAGCACTTTCCTTATTACATCAATATTTCTACTACTTTCCGTTCCGGAAAGAATTACGGTCAAATACCGGACTGTTCGGATTAGATTATAAATTTTTCCGGTCATTACAGCATATATGTGAAGATGAGACTAGCATCTGTAGTGATCTCCGAAGCTTGCAAAACTTTTCAATCAGTAATAAGTAATAAAGATGGTTAGAGACTCGTGTTGATAATGTATTATAAAACAATAGCAAAACTAAACTATTGTAAGGAACTAAAGAGAACAAGAGATAAAACATAAGAGAATTGAGAGACAAAATAACTCAGTAAAAGATATCAAATACATGCTCATACATCCATTATTTATAGGCCAAGTATCATAAGTAGAGGTAATAAGAAAAGACATGGGTTACATATGTTACACCCAATATTAAGAGGAGTATTATGGGAAGATTATACACAACATTAAGAGGAAAGTAATGAAGGGATAATGAGGTCATAATAAGAGGTCTTGAATGGGTTAAGGAATATTGATTTACAACAAAATTGGAATTGTCTTTCATTCCAGGATGAAAAAAATCATAAAGGCAAACCTTGCTTTCAAAGCTTATATATAACTATTTTTTATTTTCTTTTTTCTAAGCAAAGAAGGTGACACCTTTATCACTCACATATAGAAAACGACTACATAACATGAATATAACTATAAAAAAATGCAAAAGAAATTGTAAACCTAATATGCAGTACCCAAGACTTATAGAATAGTAACTAAATGGAACTCAAATCTATACGAGTAATAGAATATAGAATATGGATAATAGATTTTCATGAGATAAGGTAAAGTATTACAGAAGGAACTAATAGTAAAAATCATCTATTTTAAAACAAGAACTGTTGAGATATAATGTTCGTAATAAGCAAGTAGCTAAATAACATAACTTATAAGATTATATTCCTTTAAGAAACCATCAAATGATCTGTGCAAAAGGCTCAAAAGTTATGATTTTACAAAATATTGCAGTAATCAATTATTTTTTTGATAAGAACAATAGTAATCAATTATGGTCTTAAACCTATTCAAAAATTGCTCAGGTTCTCCTCAAACAGAAAACTAATGCCATTCCAATAAGTTTTATCAATGCACTTTTCTTACAAAGTTAAAACTATTTCTGAAGTTCTTGCAAGTTACAACACTAATCATGTGCAACCCCGTCTAAAGCACACATGGTATACATTGGATCAAAAAAGATTACTACAAACGAAGGAAATTTCAAGTCAAGAAAAAATTATTTGCAATCATATTTTTTTAATTAAAATACAAAGAGCAATAAATTATCAACTCACTTGAAAAAACCAATGAGATGAGCGTACTAAGGTACGACCCTGTCTAACTCATATCAAATCAACAGATCTCTCAATTAACAGCTCTTAAGTTCAGACTATATTAAAAATGGCAGTTGGAGAGTTTAATAGCAGTTGGAGAGAAAGGGAGGGAGAGAAAACGTTTAACAATTCAACAAAAACTCTTCTTATTTTATTCAGCAATCAACATTCAGGTAAACCAAACCGATGACAATATATAATCAACAACGATACTTGAGAATAACAAGAAATATGAGTAAACACTTAATGAAAAATGTTTCAACTGTTGAATCCACCACATCACTAACCAGAAGAAAAGGGAAATAGAGTACTGTTCAAAATAATGAATTCTTAAGCTGTCTATAATAGAATCTAATGTTTTTATTTTTCACCTAAACATATTTTATTGTCTTTGTCCTGCTTAGGAAATTTTTTATGTGTTACTATAAGCTCAGACGAATCCTAAGAAACATTTAAAATGCATGAAAAGACAGGATTTTTCTTCCTTTTGAGACTTTCACAAAGATTAAAAAAGCATTGAATAAAAAATAATCTTTAATACAAAGTATTTTAATTCTCTGCTACTAAAATTCAAGGCCAAAATGTCAAAGTAGTGGGAGCGCAACCAATTATACTAATATGAAAGTTATTGCATAAGTAGAAGTAAAGAACCTTATAAAATTTTACTTGAATATAGTAGCACTTTACCTTATTTTGAGCACTCTTTGCAAAAGGGTAATGCCTTGGTCCTTCTGTACATAAAGATAATTTTCACTAGTGTAGGCAAGCTGTCATGAAGGAATCGGACTCAATGTCTAATAATCTGTAAACTTTAACTACATAAGGAAAGGAAAAACTTTGAAAACTAAGAAACAACAAAAAGATAAAAAATAAAGAACATCCCAATTTCATGTAAAGTCGGCAAGCTGAAGATATTTAAGGGTAGAAAAGAAATTATAGCGTCACTTCTTTCTGCCTCTCTCTCTATCACTTTTTACATTTATTATTTCACATGTGGACTCTACTAACATGATATATTATTATTTAAACAGAAAACGAGATAGTCCATGTGTTAGTAGAGTCCACGTGTCAAACAATGAATGAAGAAAGTGACAGAGAGCGACATAAAGAAGTGACGCTAGCATTTCTCAAGGGTAGAAGGTTGAAAATGAATCAAAATAAAAACTAAAATAGCCATGTATTGGATGATTGTATAACTAATTTTGTAACTAAACCCAAACACAATCTCTTACTCCCACATCAGCTAAATTCTTCAGAACATGCTTCGACAAAAAAACAACTAAACTATTAACGATAAATAGAAAAGAAAATAACATGGTTTGAAGAGAGAAAAAAACAAAAAACAAAAAAAAAACACAAAAACGAAGAAAAAAACATAACAAACAATATATATTTGATAAATTGATTCATGATATCTCTTAGTGGAACATAGATTTACTCTTTAAGTTGGAGTTGTGAAATTTACTGTATGCGAAAAAGCATAGAGAAATTCATGTTGTGAGGGATATCAGAGTTCAAGACACCTTTTGATCAATCGTAGATTTCTATAAAAGAGTTCCCCATCCTATACTTCTACTTGATCGATCGTCCTATATTTTGTGTGTGTACATAAGATTACGCATTTGTCTATATAAATTATAGAGTTAAAAAAAAAAACAACAACAACTACATGTATTTTGGAATATAGGTCGTCAGACCAATTAAACCGCTTCATATTTTCACCCTGCAATTACTAGAAACACATATATTATCATTTGAGAAAATCATTACGTGAGGAAATCCAACCACTCAGCCTCGATTATTTACCCCAGTTCCAGAATCCGTCCAATCAATCAAACATGAGCCCAAATGAGTACCCGGTTCCAGAAACCGTCCAATCAACCAAACATGGGCCCAAACGAATCGTTTGGTTTTGGAAATCTTTGTAGCTCTAGACCTCTGTTCAGTGATATAAACACATGAATGCATGAACTTGATCAAAATCAAAAAGAGAGAGAGAGAGAGAGAGAGAAGTTCGGCAAACAAGAGAAACGAGAATAAAAAAAATCCAGAAATTGTTATTCAATTTCATATACCACACGTGTTTTCACGCAAAAGGGAAAAAGAAATCATTACATTCATCTACAGATTCACACGGGAAAGAAAAAACGAAGCAGAAAGTACTACCAAAAAATTAAAAAAGAATAAACAATCAACCAAAAAATTGAAAAAAAAAACGTATTCAATAGTACCAAATTTGAAACAATCACAAGAAAGAAATCTGAGCAGCAAATTGAAAATAATTATAATAATAATATCAACAACAATAACAATGAAGACGATCTCCTAAATTTGCACAAAACAAACAGCCCAAATGCTCACGAAAAATAAGCAATACATGGAGAACAGTGATTCGCCGGAAGTGGAGCATGAGAGAGATGATGAAATTTAGGAAATTAAAACCATAATCTTTGAGAGACTCACCTCTGAGCGAGTCCACATTCGATCATGCAGAGAGACGACAAAAGGAAACAGCCCCAAACATCGCCTAAAAAAAAGCCGTTGAAACGTTTCGCACATTTCGTTTGGCCCCCACCCCAGAAACGGATTCTGATTTAG